AAAATGCAGTCTTCTCTTTGTCTCTAGGGTCTATTTCCACCTGCCAGTAGCCACTTTTTAGGTCCAGGGTAGTGAACCACTTCATTCCTGTCAGTGTATTCAATGTGTCGTTGATCCTTGGCAGTGGATAGCTGTCCTTCTTCATAATGTTGTTCAGTCGACGATAGTCCACACAGAAACACATGCTGCCATTCTTCTTTACCAGGACTACAGGTGAACACCATGGACTAGAGGAGGGCTCTATAATGCCATTCCTTACCATTCCCTGAATCATGGCATCCATCTCTTGTTCACATGCCATCGGTAGCCTTCTCTGTCGCTGATGGATTGGTAACTCATTTCCTGTATTTATTTTGTGCCGAACCAATCCCGTCTTCCCTATATCAGTGTTGTTTGATGAGAAAATGTCGGCATATCGAAGCAATCTTTTTAGCTTCGTTTAGTTCCTCTTCCGACAGATCCTTACAACATTCTTCCAGAAGCGTTGATACATTGAATACGGAATGTTTCATATTGGTCGCAGTAGATTGTTTTTGGCATTTATGCATCCAAGCAACTTCACAGGTGCCCATTAAAGTGCCTTTTCCAACAACCTGTTCTCTATCACCCGGATTTAGAACATGTACTGCTGAAATGTTTGTGGCCCTCACCAACGTTTGCGCCATCTTCCATGGTAGGCCACTATCTAAACCCTCTATGAGGACACAACAATTCTTCTGGCCAGTGTTATCTGGTAGTCTAACTGGTACGATAGTTTCTGACCTTGGGGGAAGAACAATCTTATTCAAGCAGAGTGCTTCACCCGATGATGTGCCTTCCATAAAGAGTTCTGCCAAACTGCATTTTAAGACCCCCTGTTTGACATCAATCATCACAATGATGTTCTCTCATGAAATTTAAGCCCAGAATGCAATCGTCCCTTATATCGGCAATGATAACCTTATGCCGATAAATCTTGTTGCCTAGTTGCAATTCCACCTCCTTCTTGCCTTGGACAGATATGTGCTGACCAGTCACTGTTATAAGACGAATACGATCATGTCCACTGAAGTAATCCCCAAGAAACTGTTTTGCCAGCAGAGAACCGATGACCATGTGAGAAACTCCAGTGTCCAACGTCAGCTTACATGGTGTTCCGTTAATTTTGTCTTTGATAATCAGGCTATTCCCATCGTGGGCTTGGGAGATTGAGATTCCTGGGACTCCTTCAAAACCAGCCAGCACCCGCCCCTCAGTCCTGACGTTTACTCGTTTCCCTGCTGCCACTGCAGCTGGGCGGTGGTATCAGTTGCCTCTATCTTCTGAAGTCCATCCTCCTTTCAGTCTCTCCCAAGGTGTCCTCGCTTTGGGCAATTCATCTGCAGGTGGCCCCTTGCTCTACAGTAGTAACACTGGAGACCTCTTGTTATAACCTCTCTAACACGATGGGATCGATCATCGTGTCTTACTGCCTTCACCTCCAAAGCATGGGCCAAAGCGTCCTTCAGAGTTCCATGATGTCCAATCTAACAGCGGCTCAAACTTATAGATTGCGTATTCCATCTATGAACGCTTGTACAAGTAGTTTTTCAACCAATGCAGGTGAAGACTGATACGCTGTTTCGACCAGCTTTTCAACTTCCAGTGCCCAGCACTGTAGAGTCTCGGCACTACGTTGCATACAGTCCTTAAACTGCGCTCGATACACATGCTCTAGACGCTTGTCCCCATATCTGGACTCCAATGCCTCCACCAGTTGGTTGTAAGTGATGTCCTTACCAAGGGCCTATAGTACTGTCAAGGCCTGATTGTGGAGGGCCAACGTGAGTGCTGTCATGGTATGTGCTTTAGTCCATCCATTCATCCTCACTACGGCTTCAAACTGAATTTTATAAGCTGACCATGAAGATGCCCCATTGAAAGGTGGTACTTTAAATCCACGTACTGCTAGCATAGATATAACGGGATTGGCATTCCCAATCCCAGATATGAGCTTGACCAAAGCTTTCTCAACATCTGTGATCTTCACTTCAACTTTGGCAGTTCGATTCTCATGCCGTTGGACCTGCTCTTCATGATGCTCAACCTGCTCCTTGATTACCTTTAAATTGCTACCAATTGTGGTATGCAGTTCCTTCAGTTGACATGCCTGCTCTTCTTGGCCTCGCTGGAGCTCTTCTTTCATTTGACGTGCCTGCTCTTCTTGCATATTTTTCAACTGACTGGTCTGCTCTTGTAACGCTGCCAACAATACAGATAGGTCCAGCATAGCCGGTGCTGGAGTAGCGCCAGAGGTGCTGGCACACACACACACACACACACACACACACACACACACACACACACACACACACACACACACACACACACACACACACACACACACACACACACACACACACACACACACACACACACACACACACACACACACACACACACACACACACACACACACACACACACACACACACACACACACACACACACACACACACACACACACACACACACACACACACACACACACACACACACACACACACACACACACACACACACACACACACACACACACACACACACACACACACACACACACACACACACACACACACACACACACACACACACACACACACACACACACACACACACACACACACACACACACACACACACACACACACACACACACACACACACACACACACACACACACACACACACACACACACACACACACACACACACACACACACACACACACACACACACACACACACACACACACACACACACACACACACACACAATCTTTTATTTAGGTACATATAAAACGTACATTTCCGGTACCACATAGGCATAACCGGATTAGTTATATTTGTAACTATATTCAACAATTATTTAATAACAAATCATGAGTTTTTAATTAAAGTTTTCAATTAAAGTTTAGGATTATTCTAGAATAAAGATGAAGACATTATTAATTAGTAAAATAGTTTGTGATATAACAATATTATAAATTATTTGTGACATTTCTTTTCGTATCAATAAATATTAATATTTATATATACATATATAAGTTTTCTAACAATGTCTTTAAGTATTTAAATAACATATATATGTGAGGTGAAACATAGTTATTTAGTTAACAAAATATAAACAATTTTTAATACAATTGTAATGAATGCTATAAGTTTAAGAATAACAATAACATTTATGATTATTTATATTCACATATATAAAATTGTGGTTTGTATGATATGTTTTATTTAATTTTAATTTTAAAATTCTATAATAAAAATTTATATTAGAGAGAGTAATATGACAGTTCATATTTGGATATGAGAAAGTGAATATAACAGTATTCATTTAACACTCATTCCAATTTGCCTGAAGATCCTCGTTGATCTTCAAATCACAAGACACTCCTTGCAGTCCACAAGCTGATCAACAACAGTTCGATTGGAGAGTTCTGAACAACATTCTTATTTAGTCTCTACGGCACCCCTTCCCATCCACCTGATGATCCTCAAGTATGATCCTGGGAGAGTCACAATCGATGAGTTCTCCACGCAAAATCACTGGGATGAATCTTGAAAGAGTTTCACAGATCGACAAGTTCATAGTTTTTCAGAAAGTCACCTTCTGGAATTTCGGTCCTTCCAGCCCCACCAACAATAACTCAACAAAACACCATTAATATGTTGTGAGACTCGTAAATTTCTCCAAAATTCCTCTAATGGATTAACCGATTATTGAAATCAATAACAGTGTATCGTAATTTTGAAGTTACGCTGTCCAAATAATTTGCTGTACATCAAGACCGCAACACCGATCAAAGCAATGACAATCACAGAGAGTCTTAAAAGTTACATACTGAGTACCCAGAATTTATTAAATACTGTTAGGTCTGAAGTACCATGATGTGCATAGGCATTACGAGTATACACATATATATACGAGTTGAAGGCCCTCCACTTGCATACACTATGGCTTCGTTAATCGTATAGAGTTATTGTTATATGTGCCGTAGTTCGTAAGTTTGTAGGTAATTGGTTTATGGTGTGAACACCATCAATTAGGTATGTATTGTGTTAATATCGTTGTATTTTTTAATGAGTATTTGTAGATAGTAGAACATTTCCTTGTTATTAATCAACTTATGTTGTGTACAAGGCCAAGAAATACCTAGCTGAATAGCAATTGTTTTTTGGTCTAGTCTTTCTTGTTCAAGCATTAGGCAGTTGAATATATAGTGTTCACTCCCATCAATATCACCACATATTGAACATCTATTGGTATTTAAGTCTGCAAATCTATTTAAGTACTCCAACTATCTACAATTAACCAGTAACTGGTGCGAAAAATCTTTAAAATTGGCGAACGTTTTCGATTCCCCTTCTGGGATCTTCTTCAGGCTTACTTTATTTTAGCTTTCGTTATAACCGGATTCTTTACTTCGAATGTTTTTTAAAAATATGGAACGTGCCATGGAAGGAATTTACGTGTTATTTCAAATATAATTTTTACCAATGGGGATTCATTGTGTGCAATACCTCATAAAATTTATCTTATAAAATATATTATGATTTATCGTCAATTAAAAATTGCCATGCTGCCGAGAGATTTATTTCTTCTTTGAAATTAATGCATGCAGATTTGCGATCGGCTTAAAAGATTTCCACTGCCTCCAAAGTTTTTAGTTGTTCCGGGTGTTGGGTGGTGCGAATAACATGCGCTTCATCGAAGAAAGGAGTGATGTCCGGGTTCGTCGCATACGTAGATAGGGCTGTTGTACATTTATTATGTTCAATGTCTGATTTATGCTCTTTTAATCTTGTGGCCAATGAACGCTTGGTGGATCCGATATACACTAAAGGCCTATCCCATCTGTTATCTTTTAATGGAATACTGTATATCCCTGGAAGCCTATTTGGGTTCGAATTGTCCTTCCCGTTCCTTAATAAATTTATCTTTGGAAAGCTGAGCCGGATATAGATCATTTTATGAAATCTATGAACAACAACCCATATGGCCTCGTAGTGGAACTAGAACAACTTAGTAAGGATAAAGTACACTTCTTGGATATAGTCATAGATATGAAAGAAAGGGCGGTACAAACTTATGTATACAGAAAACCTACAGCGATATCAACGTATATACCTTATGAATCTTGTGACCCATTTTCTTATAAGATAGCGGCGTTTAGAGCATTAGTAGAAAGAGCATATACGCATTCTTCCACCTCCCAAGCCCTCCAACGAGAATTAAATTACATTAGGAAGATCGCTAAAGAGCATGGTTACAGCAATATTATAAAAGGTTTATGTAAGCAGCACCGGCGTTTGCAGAATCGTGTAGAAGAAAAGGTAGAGGTACTAAATAATGGAAATGAGGATAGCGTAGAGAGGGTACCAATAACGTATAACCCGCATCTAAAGGCAATGTACGAAAAAATTGCAAAAATAAAAGGAATTAATATTGCATACAAAAGAAACCCAACCATTTACAGTTTATTAAGGAACGGGAAGGACAATTCAAACCCAAATAGGCTTCCAGGGATATACAGTATTCCATTAAAAGATAACAGATGGGATAGGCCTTTAGTGTATATCGGATCCACCAAGCGTTCATTGGCCACAAGATTAAAAGAGCATAAATCAGACATTGAACATAATAAATGTACAACAGCCCTATCTACGTATGCGACGAACCCGGACATCACTCCTTTCTTCGATGAAGCGCATGTTATTCGCACCACCCAACACCCGGAACAACTAAAAACTTTGGAGGCAGTGGAAATCTTTTAAGCCGATCGCAAATCTGCATGCATTAATTTCAAAGAAGAAATAAATCTCTCGGCAGCATGGCAATTTTTAATTGACGATAAATCATAATATATTTTATAAGATAAATTTTATGAGGTATTGCACACAATGAATCCCCATTGGTAAAAATTATATTTGAAATAACACGTAAATTCCTTCCATGGCACGTTCCATATTTTTAAAAAACATTCGAAGTAAAGAATCCAGTTATAACGAATGCTAAAATAAAGTAAGCCTGAAGAAGATCCCAGCAGGGAATCGAAAATGTTCGCCAATTTTAAAGAATTTTCGCACCGGTTACTGGTTAATTGTAGATAGTTGGAGTATATACAACCCGGTGTGGTGAGAAAGTACATTAACTATTTAAGTACTTTGCAAATTTTCCATGATCAGTGAAGAATTGTGTTAATAAGTGTGTAGGTTGTATCCAATGATATTTGTATATGTCCTTTATAATTGGGAAGAACTTGTACATAGTTTTCTCTTTGTATGTATTCCATTTCTGCTGCCATTTATACAAAACATCATTCCATAAAAGTTTCTTAGCTGTCTGTAAACTAATTTTGTTGTATGATATCGTTAAATTTTGGTCATTAGTGGCCGACTTAGCCAATTCATCCGCTCTCATTCCTGATAGTTCCTTCGTGTGCTCTGGTCCACATGAAACTATAATTGTTTTGAGAGACAGTTATTTGTTTTTTAATTTTTGTAGAAATTGGTTTTAATTGGGTGCTGGCAGTTAAAACAGAGTCAGTTGTTTGCTGGCTATCTAATGTCCGATCAGAAAATTCACTAAAATGCCGCTGATTCATCACCTGCTGTCGCTGTTGGCTTCGTGTACAAATCCCTTGAGTGTCTTATTTCGGCATAACCGGAATGATTTATATCGCACTCCTGACACAAATTTGTTATGAGCTGTGGGGCTCAGGATATAAATTCAGAATACAGTTTACCGAAACTGACACTTTTTACACACACTAACAACAAAATCTTTATAGCTCTCGTTAAAAGAAAGACTTCTCCAACGTTTTTTTTTATTTCGAACTGTTCTTTTTCTTCCGAATTATTCTTCTTTTTTTGAATCATTCTTTTTTGTTTTGCCACTCTTCGCACCATCATGCTAGTCTCCTCCGAAGCCGGTGCAACAATATTTATTTGTATAAAAAAATTAATTTTTTAACAAATGTTTAATAAGAGGCGAGAAGGGGCAATAATATTCTACATTTACATATCTTTATTCTACAGCATATGTACTTCAATTTCACCTTTGCAGAAAAGTTAGTTCAACTAAAAAGTATGCGATCTAGTTGCTTCAGCCCCTTGTTGAGAAAAGAAAAATATATACTTTGATCAATTAGTCTGGCTTATTCAGAAAAATAGAGTACTTATTTAGAGCAGAGACAATAAAAGAATGATTCAAAAATATTCAAGTTCAATTTGGTCAAAATAATTTAACTAGTAAACACAACTACTACAACGAAAACTACATATTTAATAAATTAAATTGCTGCATCTTGTATTTAAAATAAATGAATTATAACAAAATACAAAACATTTTAAAAAATTAATAAGAAAATTTATTTTATATTTTCATTTAAATAAAAAAAAAACTAAATTACATTTATAATTTTGAATTTTATATAATGGTTCTAAGAAACAAAATAGCTTCAATTAAATCCTCCTTCATAGATGCCCTTAAATCAACTTTAATTATTTTCAAAGCTGAAAATAATCTAAGATAAACGACTTCCAACAACTTAACACTGCGTTGAATAATAACAACCCACGAAAAACTTTTTTTTTTACGAGTGTTATGTCACTAGTAAATTTTACAAGTACTTTCGACCTCCACCGAGGTCTGCTTCAGGTGGTGACTGGCCGTGTTTCGACCCGACCGTTGTAACGATGTTGCCAACGATGTAAATAAATAAACGTGTGCGTCGGGTTTCACCCCTCCAACCGTCGTTGCTCGAACTCCTCGAATAAATACCTCCACGCCTGTGCAAGTGTTTCCCCATCCCTGTAGTTGATGCAGTTGCCCCCCCATGATAGCTTTGTGAATCTCCCAGGTCTCCAGGTGCCGGATGTGATCAGCGCGGAACGCGGGTCTGATAAGTTTGGTGTTCCGGAAGTCCGCCCTTATTTCAGGGTCGGTGACATAGGTCGATAAGGCAGTGGTGTGTCTTTTATGCTTAATGTCAGCTTGGTGTTCACGTATTCGTTTCTGTGTTGATCGGATGGTGGAGCCAATGTAAACTAAGTCTCTATTGAATCTGTCATCCCGTACGGGAATGGAGTAAACACCTGGGGCCCTGGAGAGATCCATTGCGTCCTTCGCGTTGCGCAGCAAGTCGTAAAGCGTGCCGGTTCTTAAGTACGCGATTTTGGTGCGGCTGTTGCTAGCGATCTCCCTATATAGGGGGTCTAGATGCCGGTTGAAGCGGACGACCGCGCGTCTCGCGTTCCCATCCGGTTGGCGGTTGTCGTCCGGCGCATGCACGTGCTAAACCGCGGACCAAGGCTTTGCTATAACCATGTTCCACGGCAATCTTTTTTATGCGTCGGATCTCCGACCATGCGTTGCGCACATGCGTGTGGTGCGTGAAGGCCCGTCTGGTAAGGGCCCGGAAAGCCGCCATTTTGTAGACAAAGGAGTCAGAGGAGTTCGCGGGGATGAACAGCGGGAGTTGGTCAGGTTTATGGTAGACGCTAGTTTCTATTTTGCTGCCCCTGAGACGGATGTTAACATCAAGAAAATGAGCACTCGAGTTGCTAACCTGATCTAAGCCGAGGGTGAGGCCATATGCATTGTCGTTCATACACGACAAAAAATCGTCCAGATTGGGAGTGGTTTTCCACAGTATAAAGATTTCGTCCACGTATCTTTGGTATAGACTGATGTTTGGTAAGAATTTGGGCAACACTTTCTCCTCCAATTGTCTCACCACCAGCTCGCAAAGGTCCCCTGAAAGCGGGCTGCCCATGGGGACACCTCGTCTTTGTAAATAAGTAGCCTCGTTGAACTGGAAGACCGAAGTGTAGCACATAAGATGCGCCAGCTCCAATATCTGCTCCCGGTGTGGGAGTGCATCATTCTCCCGCAGTAGCAGGTTCCTAAGAGCGCAGAAGCATGGCTGTAGCTATATCGAAGGGAAAAGGGACACGAAATCCATGACCGTGAAGTGCGGGTCTTCACCAACCTTGATGCGCCGTAACAACTCTACAAAATCAGCAGAATTGGTGGTAGCAAACTTGTAACCCTTCAATCGTTCGGCGGCGATGTTGTGGACGGCCTTCTCAAGCAGCCTCGTAGGGGACCTAGCTTTATCCAGGACCGGCCTAAGAGACAGGGTCTGTTTGTGCGTTTTGGTGAACGTGAACAGCCTCGGAACGTCAGGAGAGGCAACTACCACCTTGCTCAAACCCCATTTTATGGCTAACGACGTGCGGGTGAACCTAGAAACACGAGACTGTAGCTTATCTATGTAGCTATCGTCGATGGGCTCGCAGTCCGTGTCGTCGATATACCGTTGCATGAGAGACCTTTAGGTGGCTTCCTTTAATAGAACTAGAGATTTATTTTTATCCGCTTTTAGGACTATGATGCGTTTGTCCGTCAGCCATTTTCTAGTTTTTCGTAAGATGCGCCACCAGTTGTCGTTGCTGGTCCTGTTGACAGCACAAATCGTGAATACAGCTTTCCACCTGTAGTACTCATTTCGGGTGTCGCTCAAGCCGTTGATGAGCCTCTCGATGTCGGGCATTATATTCTCCGGGCGCAATTTCGACGGTCCCGGGGCAAACATCGGACCATGCTGCATGATGTTAAGGAGAAAATCCGGGGGTGTTATGTGGTCCCAACAAATCACTGGTGCAGCCTGCGCCGGTTTTTTGTGCGGACTTTGTTTAGCTAAGATCCAGTGAAGTTTTTTACGGTACCTCGTCTGTAGGTCGCGCGACAGGATTTCCTGGAAGCATGCTGCCCTTCTGTTCTCGTCTTCCAGCTCCGTCCGGTTGCGTTCGAACATTTGGTTCTCCAATCTGATTAATCTGTCCAGGATGGAATAGACGCTCTTCCTGGCGTTTCGAATGGCAATGGATCTCACCAGGGCCCCGGGTGTTTACTCCATTCCCGTGTGGGATGACAGATTCAATAGAGACTTAGTTTACATTGGCTCCACCATCCGATTAACACAGAAACGAATACGAGAACACCAAGCTGACATTAAGCATAAAAGACACACCACTGCCTTATTGACCTATGTCACCGACCCTGAAATAAGGGCGGACTTCAACAAACTTATCAGACCCGCGTTCCGCGCTGATCACATCCGGCACCTGGAAACCTGGGAGATTCACAAAGCTATCATGGGGGGCAACTGCATCAACTACAGGGATGGGGAAACACTTGCACAGGCGTGGAGGTATTTATTCGAGGAGTTCGAGCAACGATGGTCGGAGGGGTGAAACCCGACGCGCACGTTTATTTATTTACATCGTTGGCAACATCGTTACGACGGTCGGGTCAAAACACGGCCAGTCACCACCTGAAGCAGACCTCGGTGGAGGTCGAAAGTACTTGTGGAATTTACTAGTGACATAACACTCGTAAAAAAAGGTTTTTCGTGGGTTGTTATGAAAATAATCTTTTCACACTTACTTGTGTTGGGGACATTGCTGTGACAGATCTAGCTGCATCATAAATAATTTCTTGATAAATTGAAATAGCTTCTTCCACATTCAATTGTGATAAATGGTCATAAATTTCTATTTCAATTAGCCCATTTAAAAGATTTTGTTTAAATTTTATGTTTTCAATTTTTGCCAGTTTAGTTTCTTGATTTGTTAAATATCTTCGCTTCACTTTGAGATGTTCTAAACTATTCAAATATACTTAAAAATCAAGCTCTTATTTTGGAAAGATGATTCCAAGTTGTCATTACATTCATTATTTTTATTTTCATCTTTTGATTCATAAATGAAAGGTAACTGCAACCTTTTTAAGTGAATAGCTATTTCACAAAGTTTTTCTTTCCCTGAGGCAATTTGATTGTCATTTAGTAAAATTTGATTCATTGGATCAACGTAAATAGAGGCTAACAAGATTATATTGTCTAACAACTGAATCTCTCTATTTCTCATTGAAGATAAAATTGCATTAGCAACAATTCCTCCAGTTTTGTCAAGCTGATACATCAAAGTTTTCCACTGTAAGAAAAAATTTCAGGTGACAAATCTTCAGCTTATAACTTTAGAGTGACAATACTGTCACTCTAAAGTTACAAGCTGGTAAAGGGTATGACAAGACACACTAATTTTTCTGTTTGTTTCCATTGGTTTTCAGTTAATAAAACACTTGGATTATCAAGGTCTTAAAGGAAGGTTTTCAATTTGAGTTTTCAATTTCAGGTATTAAATAACTGCTTTCCCAGCGAGTAGATTGAGTCTTTTAATTCATCTCTTATTACTAATTGCAATGTGTGAATAGCATATTGCATATGTTGAATTTGAAACATATTGGACGCTTCCTCCACAATATCATCTAAATATTTCTTTTTTTTTCTATTATAGGCTCGATTTGTGTGTCAATGGCAAATATTTTATTAATGTCTTCTAATGCAATTTCATTATCTTGATTCATTTTCTCAGTTATTTTTAATATATTTGAAGCGTTATCTGTTACAATACACAAAATATACTCCTTTTTAATTTTAAAATCTTCTAATACCTCTTGAACCAACTTCTGCAGATATTCTCCTGTGTGATGAGCCATAGTGTCTTTTACTGCTAATGTCTTCATAACAATTGTATTATTCTCATCAATAAATCGAACATTAATTGCAAAATAATTCACTCGATGACAAGTGCATGCATCCATTTTAATAAATATCAAGCGATCCTTCAGTCTTTTTTTGAGTTCATCTTTTTTCAAAACAGCTTCTTCAATTATAAGCCTTTTGAGGTTTTCTCTGTCTAGTGAAACTGCAAGTTTTCTTGCCATTTTGCCATTTAAGCCTAAAAAGATCAGTTGTGAAAAAAAGATTAAAGGCACTACTATCTTGCACCACCATTTCAATTATGACATAAAGTTACAGTAACAACTCGTCATTGTTACTGTAACTTTATCCAAGTAAAGAATTTGCATACTTGTGTTTGTACTGAACTAAATTTTTGGATATATTCTAATTTTAAAATAGATGAAGTGTTTCTACTGTTGTTTTTTTCATTTACTTCTTGTAGAATTCTAGGATTTTGGACATTGCAAATGTCTTTTTAGATTACCTGCTCTTGTAGGCACATTTTTTTCTCAGAACTAGCAAAAACACTAATTTTTGCTTCACATACATGTTTACCATCATCATTTTCTACAATGCATTTACACTGATAATATAGTAGACCTCCCTATAACACGGGTTCCTATAATTACGATTCCTATAAGACGGCAAAAAAATTGCGACGGTATTTGTACAAACCTGGTAAAAAAAATTCCTATAATTTGGTAAAACGTCATCGGGCAGCCGAACTACTTTCCACCGTCCAGTGTCACGCTACGGAGAATTTAGGTAGGTAAATTGAGTTCAACTATCATCTGTACAGTATTGTATATAAATTAGGTACTGTACATATAATTATATATTAACTTAATTTATTGTAACTTTATTATAATTATATATATACTTTCCGCCGTCCAGCACCACGCTACGGAGAGTTTAGGCGAGTAAGTTGTTTACTATTGTCTGCACAGTATGTAAATTAGTCACCATAAGTCTAATATAGTACTGTAATTTTATACATTTCTTGTGAAAGAAACATTTCTTATTCAACGGTCATAAAAATTATTTATATTAATGATGTCTCCAAAGTTCAACAAAGTTTTCACAAAAAAATAATTTATCAGAAATCGCGGCCGCGGTTTGGTGCGCTGCTCCGCGACGAAAACAAACTTGAGCAATGGCGACGTCGAACAGTGCACACTCGGTAAGTAATCCTACAATTTTTTGTTTATAGTGTAGTTTATACGGATTATTTCCAAAAAAATATATGTATTTTGGAAATGTTTTGTCAAATTTGTCTAGAATTGATTAATTTTCTGGAAGAAAGCCTTTCAAACAGCTGTAGTACGTAAACTTCACACGTGTCGGGCTGTGATTGGCGAGGACTCGTAAGAAATCAATTCATAAAGAACGGAACGTATCTACTGTGTTATAGGGGGGTCGACTGTATTTACCATCTATTGTAAGAGTATAATATTCAAAAACTGCAGACTTGAATTTGAAAACACTCTTTTCCATTGTGAAAGGTTAATTAGGTATCTAAGAATATTTAAGTTTATAAAATTAGATATAACTCTTCAAAATAACATGTAGATAAATATAATTCATACTTACAAGTCACAAGCAAAATAATCTGAACTTGAGAGTCAAACTAAAAACTCTTTAAGTACTTAAAAATTAAAATTATGACACTTACGTGTTGTGGCGTTATTGACAGCGATTTGTTAAATTTCAGATATGTTCGCTAGTACTTTCAACAGTTTACGACTGTCGTCTTCAGGCGAAATCGAATACCTTTGTTTTCGAATTGATAGCTTTCAAAAAAGCTATCAATTCGAAAACAAAGGTATTCGATAATACCTTTACCGAATACGTAAGTGTCATAATTTTAATTTCTAAAGGCTGGCGTGAAGTGAACTATATTTCCTTTAAGTACTTTTTCCGAGTTAACCTGGGATGGACAAAAAAGGACGCAAGAGCGAATCCTGAATTAATCCTGAATCGGACAAGGAAGTCGGTCCCCCCACAGAGATTGTAGTAATGACCAAAAAGCACATGTTCTAATTGGGATTATTCCTGGAACTACTGCACACCTTACTAGAACACTGATTCCCCTTGAAATCTACATAAGGACGTCCCACGAAAGTCCACTTAGCAGCTGGCTAAAGGTCAAATAGTTGTAAATTTTGGAGACCCCAGTATCTCATTACAACTTGTTTTTAATGCAATAAAATGACAAATAAAGCATCTCTANCGAAAGTCCACCAAGCAGCTGGCTAAAGGTCAAATAGTTGTAAATTTTGGAGACCCCAGTGCCTCGTTACAACTTGTTTTTAATGCAATAAAATGACAAATAAAGCATCTCTAATGATATATTTATTTTAAATTATTTCATATTATTGTAATATTTTTACTATAAAATCACATTGGGGTAAAATTTTTCACAGCTATTTTTACATTTTAATTTTTCTGTGGAAAACAAAAAGAGAGAAATGCCGGAGTCAGAGTCAACACATTTTTCCTGACTCTGACTCCACAGCTCTTGTTTGGAGACCTTTGTGAAATGGTATTAGACAACTTGAGCACAAGGTTCTTTCACCATTCCTCCCAAACATCCTAATCTATAAGAGATACATTGAAGACATTTTCATCATGTGGAGGACGATACCAGACATGACATCTTTCGTGCAGGCCATCAATGACAATCCGTATGGTTCAACAGTAGGAACTGAGCAAGCTAGCACTGAGAAAGTTCACTTTCTGGACTTTAACATTAGAATGGAAGGATCCAACAACTGCACATCGGTGTACCATAAGCTATGTGCTACTTCTATGTACATACTAGTCAGCTCGAGCGACCCATTCTCATACAAGACTGCAGCTTTTAATGCTCTAGTCAGAAGGGCATTTTCACATTCATCCACCTCACAAGCCCTAGCAGCTGAGTTAGCTTGAGTTAAGAGGATAGCAACCGAACGTGGGTACCCCACCCTGACGCACCATTTGGTCAAGCAATATCACTGCTTGCAATGCACTCCCACCATGCATGATAGTGCCAACTTAGATCCTGACAGTCCAACATGTATTTCCATCATTTTTAACCTGTATCAGCATACAGGAGATGTCTGGCGATTTTTGACATCCTCCGAAATGAAAAAGACCCTTCGAATTGTACCAGACTTCCTGGTATATACTCCATCACACTTAAAAACAACATATGGGGCAAGGACTTGTTATATATTGGTTCTACCAAACGCTCCTTAATTACCAGTGTAAGAGAACACTGAGCATACATTCAACATGGATGGCACAGTATTGTGCCATCCATGTTGAATGTCCGCTCAGATGTCCAGATCGGATGCATATCCTTGCCATGTATGCATCTGATCCAGACATTGAGGTGGAGTTTGACAAGGCCATAATTGTCGTCAACACACCCCACCAAGACCATCTTAAATGGCTAGAAGCCATAGCCATTTATAAAGCAAGCCGAGAGACCACCTGTGTCAACTAGAAGGAGGAGCTTAATCTGTCACTAGCCTGGCAGGCCCTCATAGATGCCAACCCGTAATTATATCCATCAGCGCATGATTGCATTTTGTGAAATGGATTTTGTCGAAATGACATTCAATTTTGTTTTAAATCTTTGTTCCATTCTGAAGCATTCTAAATCTATTTGTCCTGAATAACTTTTAAATAGTTTGAAAACATCTGTAACCCACTGTATTTTTTACATGTAACACATCAGTAACAGGTTACAGAAGTGAGGATTTTACATAGGGACAATCAATCAATCAATCTTTTTTATTAAGGCACCATAGAAGTACATGCCCGGTACCGCGAGGCATAGCCGGGCTACAAAACAAGATTACAGGTGAATTACAAGTTGTAAGAATTTATGCAATGCGATACAGCAGTTGAATGAAATGTAATAAAATACTACAAAGCAAAAATCATTAAAGCTAGTGAAAAATACAATAAAAACAAATAAGAGTATAATTAAAACTAAATTATAAATGACTGTAGAAAAGGTAAATAATCAAAATTAATTAGCGTGTTTACACAATGGAATATAATAGAATAGTGAATAGTACAATATATATTATGTAATGACAGAGGAAAAAATATAAATAAAAGTATGTACATATATACAGGACATGGGCAGCTAATGGCTGCAAGTGATACAAAATATTACAGGTAGTAAGTACAGAGAAGGGTTACTGGTTGGAGGTGGCAGTAGAGATAACACCATGTTTTTTCACAAGTGCATCAAAGGCTGTATACAGTTCTTTGTTCTGAAGAAACTCCTTGTGGTGGCATGGCCAGGGGATGTTATTTTTGGAGGCTATTAGCTTGATGTTCGAACGTTCAGTTTCCAGGCACACACAGCTGAAAATGTGATGGTCGGTGTCATCAACTTCATTACAAATGGCGCACAGTGGGGTGTCCTTGATGGCAAACCTGTGGAGATAACTGGAGAACTTTCCATGATTTGTTAGGAACTGACATAAGTGGGTATTGAGCTGTATCCAGTTGAATTTGAAGTAATCCTTAATGTCCGGAATGTAACTAAAAGTAGTGTTATTGTGGTTGTCATTCCAGTTACACTGCCAAGAGTAAAGAAGATCTTCGAAAAGCAAGTTTTTAATAGCAGAGTGACTAATTTTGTCATAGGCTATGTCCAAGGAGTCATTGTTGGCTGCTGCCTTTGCCAGTTGGTTGGCCCGCTCATTTCCGGCAGTACCCTGATGACCACGAGTCCAATTAATGTAGAGGTGGTTTGTTGAGTTGCTGAGGTGCTTTCTGATGTTAGTTGCGATGGGGTGTTGTTTCTTGCTGTTAATGATAGAAAGAGCAGAAAGACAGTCTGTGAGTATGACTATAGTTGCATGCTTGTAGTGTGCCGAAACCCAGTTGGTGGCCTTGCCAATAGCAGTTAGCTCTGCCTGAAATGCAGTACAGTGGTCAGATAACCTGTACTGTTCACTGTGAATTTCATGGTCATCCTTGTAAGCCACGAAGGCACAGCCAACCTTGCTGTCAAGTTTTGAGCCATCTGTAAATATTTGGACATCGCTGTACTGCGGAGGGTTGATGTTTAGATAGTTGTGGACATATGGAGGAATGGTGTCAACGGGATTGTTTCTTTCAAGCTGATTAGCTGAGATGTTGCAGCTGAATGTGCTGATATCATGACCCCATTTAAGGCTCCAGAAGTTGTAGTAGAGATTGATGATATCCACAATAGGCGGCTTGCGAGTAATGACTTGTAGGCTGACATTTGGTGTCGTCCTGTAGGCCTTTGAGATAAGTAGAAGGGCTATGCGCTGGGAAGAGATAAGTTTTCTTTTGAGGTGGACTTTACATAGGGACATAGGGAACATCCTGGGAATCTCTCCATACTGGATTGGTCTTTTCCATTACGTAAGATGTTGAACAGAGTACAGCATTTCCTGTATGCCAGGGTAACCTGTCGTTTCTTTGCGATGGTGCTGTAAAAAGACCTCAAGAGGGGGTTGAACATAAGAGATATCCTTACATTTTCCATCCTTGTGTTACTGTTTAGTGCTGATCCAGTATGGAGAGATTATCAAGCATATATATCGTCCCACTTAGGGATAACTGGTTTAACAGGGATTTGGTATACATAGGTTTGACTAAACATTTATTGGGGGTTAGGTTAAAAGAGCATATCTCTGATATACAGCTCAATAGATGCACCACCTCTCTCTCCACTTATGCCTCTGATCCTGAAATTGTGGCAGACTTCACTAGAGCACAATTTGCACCTCACATTGACCACCTGAAATGGTTAGAGGAGATGGAGATTTTTAAGACTTATCGCACATCCACATGCATTAATACAAGGGACGAGATTGGCCTTTCCAAGGCATGGCAAGCCTTACTACATATGGAGTGATAGCATTTTATATATGGAGTTTTTGTAAATAGTCTAACTTCAAAAATTAAAATATCACTATTTATTAAGTTGTGAAGAAAAATATTTGATGGGGAACGTGTGAGATTATTATTTATGTTTTATCTCACGCTCATGTATGTTATGTATTTTGACATATCTTTCACTAACATTTGGATATGGATTATTAAGTTTGAGCACTTTCAAACAAGTCACATGATGGAATACACAAATGAACCAAACTTTTGAAACATGTCAGTGTTTGGATTTGTTCATTTTTTCATATTTGAGTTCGATCCAGCTGAATTACCTGAAGAAGAACCCTGAAGGGGTTAGGAAAATGTTTGTTTTGGAAGATTAAACTTTGTACTCACCGGTTATAGGTTCAAGTAGGTAATATTTTGATTATTCACATATATATAGATAGATATTAGGGTTTCTGAAACAGGATCCCGGGATCCTGGTTGTTTTTTTAACCCGGGAAATTTTTCTTATCCCGGGAAATCCCGCAAATTTCTTAAAAATTCACTTTTTTTCTTATTTTGTGTTAAGGTTGAGGAGTTTTGCAAATAGAAAGCATAATTAACTCATTCACTGCCAGAATACATTTGTATTTATTAATTTTAAACCTACCTATTAGTTTTTTTAAATTTTTGCTCGTTATAGCATGTCACAAATGGTCAATAATCAATATATAGCTTATTTGTGGCAGGACTATAAAAATTCTTTACTTGTCGGAACCTGTAATATCTGGAATAATTGTGCTTACGCTGTCTTGAGTTTTAACCATGCCCAGTAGCTTCAATAAATGCCTGACGCCAGATTGTGCAAATTGGGCAAGGATACAAACGAGTACAAAGTCTGCAAGTATGAAGTTTTTCTTCATAAACCTGATTATTAAAGCCAAATGAATTGCCGAATTATCGAGCTCTAAGCTTGATGCCGCTATTAAAGCAGCCAAGGTAGACAAATCAAGAATACTAGAGAGCGAAAGAAGTACTACAATCTCGAAAACGAACTCGAAAGCTTCCAGGCTACAGGTGAAAAAACACATAATATCTGTCTTCTCTTAAATGCATTAAACACTATTCCAATCACATCAATTGAATCGGAAAGGGCATTCTCGGTGGCAAGACTTTTCATTACTAAAATAAGAATTAGAGTGAGTTATCGGAGTATTGACCATCTTTGCTTTTTAAAATCTTATAAAAGTTTGCAATATTTTGTATTATATTTTATTTAAAAAACGAAAATTACCTTCTAAATTAGAAGTTCATTTTTTTAATTTTTAACTCAATTCAAAACATTTTTTTTGTTGTTGTTGTATGCAGTTTCCAGCAAACTTTAATTAATTTTTTTCTATTTGTGAAAATTTCTACGTTATTTAAAGGTAATTTTTATTATAGGCCTATAGACCTAACACAGCATTATTAATATGATTTTGGAGGTTACAAAACTTTAAAATTACTTTAAAAAATGGAAAATAATTATATCATTTGATTTCAAGATATTTTGTATACCTTAAAAATAATTAATTCTATCCCGGGACAAGCAAAATACCGGGAAATGAGAAACCCTAATAGATATATCTATGTATAGGGTTTTTCTTTATTTCTATATCTTTATATCTATGTAAAGGTTTTCCTTTTTTACTTTGTTATACATGGCCCTCCCTTTTGTTCTGTAGCACCTTCTCATTGGGTTTGTGCGAGAAGCCAGAGGTTTGACTGGATGGTAAGTCATGTGTAGAGGACGTATCTCCCCGGGAGATATAAATAGCAGAACAGTGTGTGAAGGAGAACATTTTTCATTTTGTTTGCCTCGTCTGTGAAAACCTTAGAGGATGTGTTAATGAGTATTAAGAGAGACCACCCAGGAAGAAGAGTAATAACTAGATTCAAGAGACTACCCTGAGAAAGGAGTGCAATCTGATCCCATCGAGTTGATGAACATTTAATTTTCGGAAAGGACTATAATAGAAACAAGAAGAATCAATGGGAGGATCACTCATAAACATTAGTGTTCATGTGGGATGATTAATGGGTTATATCTCTGATTTTCATCTATGGGAAGGTGCTGTGAGTAACCTGGGTTCATGTTTGATCCCTCTGTTGTTAATTTCATAGTCTTATCTTGTTACACATTATCGGGTGAATCTCAAGATAGTATTCCAATGAATTTTGGGTAGAAGAAGAGTGAAGGCAATTTTTTTTGTAATGCAAAAGTTGTGGTTAATACCCTATGTGTTTCCTGCTTATTAATTATTGTGTTAATATTAAAGACAATTGTTTGATTGTAAGCAGACATGTTATTCATTTGTATAAACCCATAGACTCAGGTCTAATGGAGGAATCAACAAATATATGACATTTCTGAATATTTATACTTGCAATTAACTGCTTATTCTGCATTGAAATTATGGAGTTCAAGTCATGATGTCCTAATCTTATATGCCACAAATGGATGCATCTCTTCATATCATTAATTACAGTAAGCACTTGATGAGATTTATCAAGTTCATACAAACATGTTTGCTGTTACTATTGCTACTGTTATTCTGTTTTTCTGGTTAGAGCAAATGTTACCTTCAAATTTTTATGAAAAATCCTAATTTCATTAGTATTCTGATTTCTAACAATATATGAGAAAATTGGCTGTAGAATGTTCCTGAAACTGCATGCTCTCTATTCGCATCAAGATGTCTTTCCCACTAATTGTGTTGCACTCAGTGACAAATATGGGAAGCATTTTCATCAGGCTATTGCAGTCATTGAGAAGTATTACAACTAGTGTCCTGCAGTGTTGGCAGAGTACTGTTGGATAATCATGAGAGATTCTCCAGAAATGAAATATAAGAGATAAACAAAAATGATGTTTTATTTGAATTATGTACATGCATTTCCTTTTTTCTTCTGTAACTCCCAAACAAGAATCAATCTCACATTTCAACGTCATTTTTGTGTTCAGTATCCAAAAATTACATAAGATTAGTTAATCATGTTTCCATTTAAAAAACATGATATTTGAACAGTCTTTACTAATTTTGAAATTTGAATCATTGTGGTATGTCACATATACTGTAGTAACTGGAAGTGCATGTTATTTTTTTCACCAATAAGCCTGAAAACTTGTAAAGTAACATAAAATTGTAACTTTACAAGTTTACAAATGTAGCCTGAAAACTTGTTAAAATTAACTGGAAACCCTATATATGGAAGTATGGTCATTTATATTGGCTACACCACAATCCATCAAATCAGCTACAGCAATACACAATATTCATACACAAATTTGTAACATGGAAAGCAGCTGAGTCACATGGATTTGAAAAGATTACCTTTGCAAAACAAGGTTAAAGAAAAACAAGCAGACATATTGATGTTATTGGACAAGTCTGGATGTGACTAATGGTACTATCAGAACTTTCTTCAGAGGAAAGTTTGAAAAGTCCTCAATACATGGAAGTGATAGAAGAGATTCTGAAATTGAATAACAGTTTATTTGGAATAACTGTTATGAAATCTGTGATTTTACTGACAAGAAGTGATTAACATTTTAGTTTTTTGTCTGACTACATTTATTTTATTCATTTATCAAATTGTTTATCAGTAGTTTATCAGTTTAAAGTAGTTTATCAAATATTTTGTTATTTCAATGAAATTATTAATCGAATAAAAATATATTTATTTACTATAATTGTGTAATAAATATGCAATTATTGCTGGTGTTTATTTAGTTATGCACTTGTTAGAATATGAGGCTAATAATAGTTTTAGTTAATTTACCATTTTTATTATTATATGTTCATGTTCAAATTAATTAATTAAATTAATGATTTTGTATTACAGTTATTGAAGTTAGAAGTTAAGCTAACCTTAGTCTCTAAGTAACTATAGTGTCATTATATAATATTTAAAGATTTCCATAACCAAATGCTACTGCTGATACTTTTTTATATCTCTACTGTATATTTTAGGATACATCCATTGAATCTTGTTTATTTGGCATCTTATTGAGATTTAAGAGGGTTCTTGTAGCACTTTCCTATTGGTTGCAATTTGTTGGGAACAGTCTGAGACCACTGACTAGTTTAATAGTGAGCATTGGCATTAAACATGCAACTATTTGTATTGTGAGTGAATTAAAAATAAAGTTGGCTGGTAATAAAGTAAAATTGAAAGAAACAAATTTTGAAAGATGAGTATCAAGGAGAGTTTCCCTTCCAAAATAGGTAATCTCTGTAAGTGAAGTTACCTTAAACCATGATCACGTGCAGTTTTTTAACATGCATACATGCATAATGTGATTTTCTGCTGATTTTTCATGCATAATTGTACTGCATGTAATTGCCAGTCCTTGAATTTGACTAACTGAAAAATACTGAATTATCTTCTCTGCATCTGAAAAAATTTCAATATCATATATATAGTTTATGAGAAGATATCTTGTTTAATGTCC